TTTAAAAAATCAAAAAATTTTATTTTATTTATTTTTTTGATGGATTTTACTTTATTTTTTTATCAGCACAAAAATTTTAGCTTTAATTGAAAAAAATTAAATCCAACCAACTTAATTCTAAATCTGTATATCTGTATATCTGTATAAGTAAATCATAAACCCACCTTTTTAATTCAAAATAAAATAATTTTTTTAAGAAAAAAAAATCTCAACCCATAAATTAAAAAGATTGTACTATAGGGATAATTATTTTATTTTATTTTTTATATAATTTTTACATGTTATTAAATAAGTAGATGTATTTAATATTATAAATTTATGAATTAAAATAATTAATTATTTTAATAATATATTAAATTATATATAAAAAAATAAAATAAAAAATTATTTAAAAATCATTTCTTAAATTAAAATTTTAAGGTGATCTAATTAATCCACCAGCCTCTGCTAATTTGTCAGGTCCAACTCTGAGTACTGGACACTGAAGCAAGGACCTCAATCGGATGGATTTTTAAAGTAGAAGGATAATTGTGGTCGTAGACGAAAATTCAAAGTACCAACTACCAAGTTCTGAGGACTGGCTTTTTCTCTTTTAACCTTTTGGCTGAGAAACTTCTTATAATGGTAGTACTGTAGACTGTCATGTCACATTTGTTTTGCAACGACTTTCAACACATGACTTCTGCTTCTATTTGCTGGTGTTCATGGAAAGTATGTTTGATTCAGTTTTTAACTGTTTTAATTTTTTAATATTATTTATATTTAATAAATTTAAATATTTTAAAAAAAATTTATATTTTTTAATTTAAAAAAATCTCAAATAATAAAAATTTAAAAAATTTAAATTTAAACTTTTCATAAAATTTATTTTTACTCCTTTTTTATATCTTTAAAAGTAATTTTAAAATTTTTCATCTAATAAAATTTTAAATTTATCATTTATAAATAATACTAAAAAAATAAAAACTCTAACAATTTAACTCAAATGTGGGTCGATAATGGATAACTTGATAATCGACAGAAAAAGTTGCTTCAGAAATTTGCAATCGGTATTTGGTATTTTTATTTCAGTTTTGATATTGACCGATAAGATTTTTGGTTGGTTAAAATATCAATTTGGTCTTTAAATTACTGTATAAAATTTTAATTTGATCTTTAAATTAAAAAAAGTTTTGATTTACTTTTTAAATTATTATACAAACCTCAATTTGATCATGTTGTTTACTAATTTAATTTTAAGTTAATCATTTTATATAATAAATAATTAATGTGTCCGTTACTTAACGACAAAAAATAATAACTTAACAATTACGTGTTACGTTAATAATGAAACACGTTAATTATTTTTTGTATAAAAAAATCAACTTAAAATAAATTAATAAATAATATAAATCAAATAAAAAATCTATACAATAATTTACGAACCAAATTGAAGATTTTACTTTTTTTGGTTTGACCTTGGTTTGAAAGTATATTAACCAGAAACCACTTAGGGGCCTCCAGATCAACCGAACTGATGCCCAATCTTTAGGCTCAAAAGATTTTTGTGGCCCAAAAGATTTAAACCAAGTAAAAAAAATAAAATAAGAATAAGAAAGCATAAAGCCCAAAATCATCTGTCTTTCACCGCCGCCGCCACCATTTTTAATCCCTCCTTTCTTAAAAGCTTTTCCTCTTCGAGTCTCCAACTCCTAATCACAATTTCTTTTCAATCTACAACAGATTTTTATAGTTTTTTCACAATTATAAAAGATTACATGTTATATTAGTTGAAATTTTAAGGATAGATATACATAATATTTAAAATATTAAAATCTAATAAAATAAATAAATTATGTATTTAACTCTTTAATTAATATTTTATTTAAAATTTTTTAAAATTTTCAAAAATCATCATAATTTAGAATTTCATAATAAAATCTAAAAAAACAAATATAGTTAATATTAAATTTAAGTTTTCATCTTCTTATTCAACTTCTATATAATAACAATTAACGAGTCATATCACTGCTTAACTCTCTTATTTATAGAAGTATGATTTTTTAAATGAAAAAAGAATCTAACCCATTATAATAATTGTTTAACCACCTATCAAGTAATCCACCTTAAATTTTAAACTTTACATCTATTTATATCACACTATATAAAATTGAAATAAAACTTAAATCCATTTATATCACACAACTTTATTGGGTTTTTTTAGTTTCATTTGACTCAATTTTAAAAATCAAATACAATTAGCAAAAGAATAATAATGAGAAAGACAAAGAAAGGGGAGGATTTCATAGAACAAATATGAGAGAACATACCATTTCAATATATATTTTAATAAATATTAAATAGGATCCACATACTCATCTCCTTTACGCATTCTCTCTATTTTTTTTTGTGATTTTTTCTTTGTTATGGCTTCATCCAAATCCAAGCTCTCTCTTCCAAATCTTCATCATTTGTCTCTATTTTTCTCATCCCCTTGCAAAAACTAAGTATAGATTTAGGATTTCTACTAAATAGGGTTTAATTTCACCAAATAGTTAGGGTTTAGTTTTTCTTTTTTTTTTCTTTTTTTCTTTTTTGAAAATTTTAAAACTACATTTATGGGTTTCGATTGCCAGGATGGGTTTAAGCCTGGTCCTTGAGTTTGGAGAGGTCCACACAATGGAGGAACTTGGCAAAAAAAAAATTGGGGAGATGAGAGAGGAAGACAGAGATTTTGAAGAAAATGAAACGGGAAGGAAATAAGAGAGAAAACAGTCAAAATTAGTTTATTTAAAATTTTAAAAAAATTATATATTAATGATGTGGCTAATTGCCACGTCATTCGTCCCATAAATTCTACCTCTTTATTCGTCCACAATACCATTGCCTTTAGCAAAGACCCAAATAAAAATTTCCAACAATATTATCATGTTTTTTCCTCTCAATCTCTTCATAATCTTATCTGCTTCTAACCCCTATTCCTCCGTTCTCCACTCCGCAACAGCAACTTCAGTGAATACCGAAAAAAAAAAAAAAAATGAATACTGAAAATTTCGATATCCAATATCGAAAAAACAGAAGGATTCCGGTGTGTCTTGGTCATGAAAAAAAGAAGAAGAAGAGGAAAAACAATCGGTTAGTTACTTTTCGGTATTGATTTCACACCGAAACCGATATTTGCCCACCCCTACACATTAATGTGCCGTCATGTGACATATTGCCTTCGTGAAGGAACCAGTTGTCCTCACCATATTAATATTGGTGTCCCGTGTCCGTCTCCAAATCCGGTCAAAATTAAATAAAAGGTTAATTTGTGTTTAAGATAGGGATGCTTTGAATACACTTGCATGGGTGGTTTATTTTTGTAATAATGTTATAATTATAATATTATATAATTTTATAATTTTATGTGATATTTAATAAAATAAAATAAAATTTTAAATGAATAGATATATATAATATTATAAATAAATTTTTAAATAAAAATAATTAATTATATAATAATACATTATATTGTATGTTTATAATATTATGTAACGTTGTAATTATAATATTTTTGTTATTTTTATTCTTAATAGTTTTAGTTTGTTTT